AGGTTCGGTAAAGAGGGACTTAGATTCGTAGCGGCGCGGCCCCGCTTGGGCTAAAAATGGCCAACCTCTCAAATGCTCAACCACGCTCGGCAAACTTTTGGCGTGGCGATCGCGATGAAGCGTGAGCTCTGGTGTGAATTGGCACATTAATGAATGTTCACTCCACGTGTGGTAGTTCCTGCAAAGAGTATATGGCCACAAACAAACTTGGACGGCAATGTTGAAGATCGCGCCAATTTATGTGTCTAATAACATGTTTTATCCGTCGTTAAATATAGTTTTTTACTTACTTTAAACTACTAAACATATCAAAGGAATCGTTCTGTGTAAGTGTGGTAAGGCTCGTTTTCTTCATGACACCATGCTTGGAGTTTGCGAGCCTTCTTTCCCAGGATGGCGCTGTTATTAGTTCGAAAAGTCTTCAATATGGCGTGTAAGAGAAAACGCACATTTAATAACAAACGTTAAATAAGAAGCGAACAGTAGACAATAGAGGAAATAAACAAATAGCGCAAGAGAAGGAATAAGTAAAGCAGAGAACAAAAAGGTAGACGATATAATAGGTTTGATTTTCTATGTCAAATTTTTGGAAGGCATCACCGTGGCGAGTTGACTGTGATCTTGTAGTTGTAGTCTTGGGGTCCATCTCTGTGTATTTCACAGCAATGCACTGATTCTCAAGTGTCGCATTGAAGGTTGGCAGTCATGCATGCGTGTACTAGAGCTGTCGTCGGATCGATAATCCGAAATCCGATCTCGATCCGAATTCCGACGATTCGATTCTGATCGATTTACAATTTTTAAAGAATCAAGATTCGGGATTCTGGATTCGGATTCGGAATTGCAAAATTGTCGTCGGATTCGGATTCGGAGTCTGGATTGTTCTAAATGCTTGTAGCGATTCGATTGGAATCGCCGGGTATCCGGAAAGAAGTGTGCGTGTTTGTGCTTGGTGTGTGTGTAGCAGAGAGGAGAGACGAGAGAGAGAAGAGAGAGAGAGGAGATAGAGAGGGAGAGAGGAGAGAGATGATGAGAGAGAGAGAAACAGAAGGGGTGTGTATGTGTCAGAGAGAGAGAGAGAGAGGTGTGCGTGTGTGTGTGTCGTGTGTGAGAGAGAGAGAGAGAGTTGGTTTTGTGTGTGTGTGGACAGAGAGAGAGAGGTGGTGCGGTTTGTTGTTGTGTGTGTGACGAGAGAGTAGAGAAGGAGAGAGAGAACGAAGAGAGGGGGTGGAGTGGTGTAGTGCAGAGAGAGAGAGAGGGAGAGAGAGAACGTAGATGAGGGTAGGGTGTGTATGTGTGCAGAGAGGAGAAAGAAGGAGAGTGTGGGTTGTCCGCGGTGTGTGGTGTGGTTTGATGAAGGAGAAGCTGAGGAGGAGTGTGGGTGATGGAGTCGTGATGGAGAAGAGGCTGCGCGTGCTTGGGGCTGGCGCGCGTGCGGCGGCGTTGGTGTGTGGTGTGAGGTGTTTGTGTTGGTGTGTGGGCGAGGGAGGAGAGAAAGAGAGACGTGTGTGTGGGTGGGGTGGTGGTGGGTGGTGTGGTGGGGGACGACAGGGAGAGAGAGAGAGAGAGGAGAGTAGAGAGGCGGGGCGGGAGGAACGCAAGAAGGTGCGCGCCGCCGGTGGTGTGGGAGAGGAGAGATGAGAGATGAGACGAGAGAGAATGAGAGGAGAGGAGGTGTGGCGGGCGGTGTGTAGGTGTGTTGTGTGTGGGAGAGAGAGATTGAGAGAGAGCTGTGTGCGGTTTGTGTGTGTGTGTCGGCGGCGAACTGCGCCTGTGTTGTGTGTGTGTGGTGTGTGTGTGTGTGTGCGTGTGTGTGAGAGAAGAGAGAGAGAGAGAGAGAGAGATGAGGAGAGATGAGAAGAGTGTGGCGTGTTGGTTTGGGTGTGACAGAGAGGGAACCAGAGGGATCAGCATGCCAGCGAAAAGGCGTTGGACAACGTTGGTGATTATGTCAGATTCCCCGATCATCCCGTTCTCGTAACTTCTTACGTCTACCCCCTCACCCATCCCTGTGAGTCTCACCAACCCAAAGTTTGGATATTGAAACAAGTTAATTAACACTAATACACGATCTCTCCACACAATTACAATTCTATGTATCGATTCGGGTGCGGATTCGGATCGGATTCGGATCGGATTTAGCGATACACATCGGATTCGGATTCTGGATTCGAGTTCGAAAAAAAGTGCCATCGGATTGGAATTGGATGGGATTAAATAGCCATCGATCGATTCGGATTCGATTTTCAAATGCCTGTCGGATCGATTTTTGTTCATGTCGGATCGACGCACAATATGTGTACGCGATTTCTGTGCGGTGTTTCTGATTACGATGGTGATACTGATAGTTGACTATGGTATTTGCGGGGCGTGGTATTGGATCGACATCTGCCGTTTAATCTTAGTTATGTTTTAGCACCATCTGATGCCAAAGTTACAAGCAACTGTAGAGTAGAAGCATATCGTGGCAATGGCAGGGACACTGACGCTGATAGAACCGATAACGCTTGTGTTCCCCAGGGCAGTACGTACGAGGTACCTGGGTACGGTTCGATATATCGGAAAGTACTTCGGGGTACTATAGAATGTTCATACCTCATTGTCCCACCGAGCCTGACTTTATGCACCCGTTCTTGTTTCCGGTCCGTTCCTTGGTGTCCCAAAGGCCGAAATGATTCGTTGTCAGTATTCGGCAGTTTGGCGATTTCTGGTGGAATTGTGGATGTATGTCGCCGGGTGTAGGATTATCAGACGATGGCGAAGTTGATTGACAGCTTGTGTGTGCCGCGGGGGTTGTGGGTCATTGGAAGATGTTCGATGGCTCCAGATCATGAAGTATTTGAGATGATAGAAGATGAATTGGAAGATGAAAAATGGAATAATGAAAGAAAGGAAAAAGAAAAATATAGTCAAACATAGCATCACATTTTTATTGGATTGGCGATGTTTTTGAGTTTCTTCTATTTGATGTGGTAACATTGAGCAGTGTATGTAATTACAAATCAGGTTGACTGAAATGTCAGGTATACGGTGGGACATATGACAGGTTACGCAGCGACATACGTATAGTACCGGCGAGGTGCTTTCCGATAATATCGATACGGCGTATCCAGGGTACCCTCCGATAGTACCCTGGGGACGAGGAGACGCGCTATGAAGCGCAGCTGACACTGGTGGACGGCGGGTTGGACATGGGGTTTATGAGCCCCCTCTCAGAAGCGTTTAGCCTGTAGGTTGTACAATTTGCAGTATAAATATATCACTACGAAATACAGTAGATGCAATGCAATAAACAGCAATCATAATACAATAGTCGAATATAATTGCACATGATGACCAGTACAGTGAAATACCAAATACATGACAATACTATATACAGTCCAATATAATATAGCTACAAATTGCAGATTTTGGTAATTGTATAAGTGCAGTGTCTTGGAGCTAGTGTTCATGCAGTCGGTGGTTCTCTTAACATCTCCACTACTAGAAACGAGCCTGCCATTTCCTGTGGTCATACGAGCAAGTTGTGAAGGATGCTGAGATTCTAGTTTTTACACCTTGTCTTTGCCGAGAATATTCACTGCCCTGAGTTTTAAACTCGTAGCCTTCAACGTGTTAGGTGGTCAGACTAACTACTGAAAAGCATCGTAGGTCGCCAGGGCACAACAAATGAGAGAGCCAAAAAACATTCCTGCTGTTGCGCAATGTTTGGCCCCATTTATGACTATGCGTGGAAGCAGACTCTACATAGTGATTGACACATGTGCCAGCTTATATTATATGTCGATAAACAGTTCTATTAGTTTCAAGGTTCGAAGAGGAAGCGCTCTATGTTCTTGGCTTGTACTACAGTCCGTTTTATATTTTCAGGAAAGCTGAAGCATTGCAGACTTCGAGAAAGGAGACACGGAATAAGGTAACGTGATGAGACACATCATAGATCAAAATTTAGGCGCTGGATTTATGGGAAACTCACTATCCTGATTTAGCCGACAGTGTGTGGCTAATGGAATAGGTGTGATCTACTGTATGTGAATTAAAAAACAGATTGAATTAATGGATGTTTTTTCTTTAATTCATAAGAAATAAATATTTAATGCACTTACTATATAGAATTATAGTTTTTATTGGACATCTTTCCATTGTAGGTGAAATTATGTTTAAGTGATGTAGGCTTGACTAAGGTGGAATGTATGCTTTATAAACTTTCCGTGCTTTGCAAAAACATTGGATGTTTTAAACACTCTCTGTTCCAACCCTATCTGGGAACACTAGATTAAATTTAATCATAGAAGGCATGCCGCAAAAATGCCTAGTTTAATATGTCATTGTGAAATATAGTGCCAAATTAAATTGTTATGTATTATATACCTAATATATAGTATATATAGTACCGAAGTATAGTGATGTAATATTGTTTTCAGTGTGGATACACCTTAATCAAACGTTTATGGCTTTTTGGCCTTTTCAGTAATGGGTGTAATCGTGTTTTTTTATAGGTACAAGACCTAGCTGACTCTAGTTCATCAAATGAGGAAGATGATGTTGATCCATTACAAAGCCTGCTGTTGTTACTTCCCAAGCAAACAGGTACATTGTTTCTTAGAATATTTACCACCAAGATAAGGCCTAAGATAAAATGTTGCTTATTTCCCTTTTAGCAACCGACTCGCCAAAACGCCGCTACTCGACACATTTTATTGGCCGATTAAAACAAAACAAAAATTATTTCGTTTCGCCAAAAAAAAATCAAATTCGTTCCGCAAAAACATATACACAAAGCAGAATATACAATATACATACACACATCTTGTCAAAACAAAATAAAAAAGATTTTTCACCTACCTACCTACTCGGTACCCTGAGAGGCGAGTAGGTAAAGGGGAAACAAACAATTTTTTAAGGGTGGCCTAACTCCATTATCATGTTCGTCCTGTCACGCAATTCAGTTGGAATATGTTGTGAACAAAATGTAATCGTACGTAATATGTTGATGTACGTACGTGTGTAATTTCAGTTCTTCTAACACATTTGCCGTTAATTCCAATGCACGTGCGCAGAGAGTAGTCATAAAGTTTGCGTTCTTGTTGAAGATGACAAGGAGGAAGGAGAGCTAAGTCTCCGTGGCAACAATAAGGACGATGAAGCCTCGGAGGCTTCCGATCACGGTGACGAGTCTGATGATGGTACGGAGGCAGAGGAGCAGGAGGAAGAGGCTGATCTCAACGATGATCACAGTGGTGACGAAGCAGCTAACCCACAGGGTGCCAGCGTTAGTGATGCTTATGCAGGTACAGTGTAGCTATAAGGAGTTTCTAAAGGATTTCGTGAGTTCTCTCTGTGATAATCACCATACTATTTGTAGTACATCATGTTGGTAATTATTGGCATTGCCAGACATGTAGAATTGCTAGGAACGTGAATATCTCAACAATACGTACCACATGTGTAACGTAAAATAAACTTGCGAGGATATCAAAAATTCTGTTGTAGTCTGTGATAGTTCAACGTGAGAGTAAAAAGTAAGGTGTCTTATGCATGTCATTGTGTGGGTGTTGGAAGCTATGCAATTTGTTTCTCAATGACATGCGCTTACTTCAGACAACTTCAGTCGCCACTACGAGGTAGAAATTTCAGAAGAGCTTGCTGGGAGACTTGGTGAGAAGGAAAATTGGAAGCAGGGTTCCCTACAGGTAATAAAAATAGTTCTGCTTTGTCCAGTTCCATAACAACTCTTTGGAAGATGTGCTCAGCCAGCCAGCTTTTGAATACAGTTAACCCTGTATGTGATGGTCAGCCCTGGGAAAGTCCAAAAGTGTTCTTTATGGACATGTGTCCATTCTAGAGAGGAGGTTTCATTGTATGAGTGCGACACATGGGAACTGCTTTTCTTAAAATGTCTTTTATCGACACGTAACTATTTCGTGGAGGTGGTTTCAGTGTATAACTGCCATTCTAGAAAACCACCAAAATGCCCTTTACAGACAGACAGACATACAGGTAGACAGATGTCTGATCTACACAGGTGTAACTGTATGATTATGCAAGGTTGACTGTACATTAACAGTTTCAGAAAACATTTTGCAGGAATGGCCGGTTCTTGGAGGTTTGAGCTACAGATGTGCGAGTGAAGCGAGTGAATTGCCTTCCGTATACACGGAGAGGGACGTGCAGAAGCTCCATGTGAAACAAGTGATCTCACGCAACATGAAAGCCACACTAAAGTCCTGCTGCGGTTTACCTGACAGAGGTAAGAGCTTAGACGATTTCCCTCATTTGATGTTAGCTTCACGTAATTTGCGTAACCCGTGTATTTCCATAAATTCGTCTAACTTCATATAGATATTATATATAGTTGAAATATTTATATTTATAGGAATTCTGATAGAATTTCAGTTTTTTCATGTACATATAAATTATGTTTGATTAGATTTGCATTATGATCATGTATGATCTTTGTTTTACTTCATTCATTCAATATGTGAAATTGAAATATTGATATATTGATATATTGTTCATAGGTATTCTACCATAGATTTGAATTCCTATGTGTACATAGTTGTAACATTCATGCCCATTGTAGTTTTATAAATACATGTAAGTGAAAAATATATTTTTTTCTTTTCGTAATAAAATGTATTGGTGTATTGTCTTGTAGATGAACTCACGCCTCTTCAGAATGAATTATTCTCGGTGATAAACAGGTATCAGGTGGGTTACTGTTGGTATATTTTAGTAAGGCATGTAAATTTTATTTCAGATACATAATTTGCCTAGTAAGAACTTTTCTTTCTCCATCGGTATCTTGGTAATGCACTTGTCCAACTGTATATTGTTATTATATATTAATTATGCATTCCCTGTTGCTTACTCACAGGATTTGTACTTCCCAGAGAGAACTATAGGAAATGGAGAGCAAGTTCGCTTGATGTACTGCATGCATGCACTTAACCATGTGTTGAAGTAAGTACTTCTACATACTAACTATTAATGCTAGCAAATTATTTCTTTTTTAAATGGATGTGGCTGGAGGCATCTCTTGCCTTAGTTCAAACAAAACAGATAGGTATATGAATAAATGCAACTAATTTTTACTAGTAGGATTGAATGGTGGTTGTCGTCTTGCCGTTGCTGAGGGAGCTATAGTAGAAGCTTCTATAATCTTATTTATATGTGAATAAAATTATGTGAAAACTACAGTCATCTGTGCTCCACACGCTTATGGTAACCGAGGTTGGTTGAAATTTATTTCAGGACCAGAAGCAAAGTCATGCACCACAACGCAAAGATATCTAAACGAAATGACGTCCCCGAGTAAGTAAAAATTGTGTTGTACAGTCAATCCTGCACATAAGGATATCTCGTAGGGACTTCAGAAATTGTCCTTTGTAATCAGGGATTTATTCCATAGCGGAGGTTTCACTGTATAACTTTTATAAGAAATTATCTTTTATAGTAAGATATGTCCCATCTAGAGTGTACGCTAAGAGAGGATTGACTGTAATTTATATCTAGGTTAATAATTTCAACTGGATCGCGTGTGGATCAGAGAGACTAGGGTTTTAGCAAAGTAGCACGCCATATAAGTCAAATAATGACAATTCAGGTTAATGTAATTGCTGAAGATACCATGGCAGCTGTCTCCTGATGTCTACTGTACTCAAATTATAGTTGGTTATCATTAAGATGATTGATTCTGTGTGTTGCAGCAAGTGTAGAGATCAGTCATTTTAGTTGGTGTTGTTATTAAAATTATCCCGTGTGTTGCAGCAAATCTAGAAATCAGAGTTTTTAGTTGGTAATAGTTAGTAATAGTTAGTAAGATAGTTGGTAATGAATAATAATTAAAATACATCTGTGTGCTATACAGCGAGTATAGAGAGAGATCAGTAATTTTACTTGGTTGATGTCATTAAAATACCTCTGTGTGCTATACAGCGAGTATAGAGGGTTGGTGATTTAAGTTGGTAATAGTTAGTAATAGTTGGTAAGATAGTTGGTAATGAATAATAATTAAAATACATCTGTGTGTTATATACAGTGAGTATAGAGAGAGATCAGTAATCTTACTTGGTTAATGTCATTAACATACATCTGTGTGTTATATACAGTGAGTATAGAGATCAGGGCTTGACTCGTCCCAAGGTGCTGATGCTGGTGCCGTTCCGTGAGTGTGCGTTGCGTATCGTGAACATGCTCAGTAAGCTACTCATCGCCGATGGTGACCAGGCAAGTAGACTCCGTCACATGACGCCGCGCAGCCGACGAGAGCGGTGCGATCGCGCTAAGCTGGGTTTACACTACTACTTTATGTCGGCGAATTGGCGAGTTGGACCAATTTCGCAATTCGGCAACACCGAGTTGGCGGAAATAGAACATGTTCTGATCTCCCAACTAGTTGCTTTCGGCTAGTTGCTCACGCGACTTTTGCGTTTACACTGCCGATTGTCGGTTGTATAGTTGTATATTGGGAAGTTGGTCTAATTCGCCAATTTCCCAACATAAAGTCGGTAGTGTAAACCCAGTGTTATCGAAACCTGAATTTAAGTGTCAGTTATTTCTAACGCTATGTGATGAAGTCGGTCGATTGTTGTTCGTGGTGTTTTATCTCTCAAATGTCGATGCACGGCCAATCCTGCGTTAGCGGACATAATAAGCGGATTACATTACAATAATACCATATACATACAATATTACATTACGATAATAAGCGGACAATTAAGACGGCCTTGGAAAGAAGTCTAAAAATCTAGCCAGTCCAGGTTTCGAACATTTTCGATTTCTACTATGTAACTAGTAGTAAAATCCATAAAACGTAGCCAGTCCTGTACAAAATTTATCAGTCCCGGATTGGCAGGGTGGGGCTGGTATATCCAACACTGCCTGCATAGAACGGAAACACCTATAAAAGACAATTTTGACATTTCTCGTGAGTGACAGTTATAATAAGGGGAAATGTACACCTATGCATAAAGTACACACGGTGCTTTACCTAAATGGTAGTTACACAGTGAAAGACCCTCTGTAGGATGAAAACTTGCCTATAAAGGTCGCTTGAAGTTTACTACGAGTGACGTTTATGTGCAGGCTTGACTGTAGTATAATTTGGTCACTAGTTGTTGTTTATTATTGTTGCTTTTACTTTTAGGCAGTAGTCACGAACAAGAAGCGGTTTCAGTCGGAGTATTCCTGGGAAGAGCCAGAAGGAGTTAAAAAGTCACGAAAGCCAGGTACTTATGTTGCGTGCGCGAACATACATTATTGGGACTCGGAGTGTTGTACTTGAACACACCACCGACGCTGAATAATGCTGTAGTTGCGCTATTACTTTGTCTCGGGTACCCCTGAGAATTTGACAATATCTACAGCAATATAGAGCATTAGCCCTGCTTACCTGGTTTTCATCCTATAAATTATTTGTTGTTTTCATTCCTCTTTGATGCGTCCTTGATAATCCTTCTTTGATGCGTCTTGATAACCCATCTTTTGATGCTCCTTGATACCTGGTCTTGATGCGTCGTTGATAACCCTTCTTTTAATGGGCTCCTTGATAACCCTTATTTCTTTGATGCGTCCCCTTGATAACCGTCTTTGAGCATCTATGATAACCCTTTCTTTATGTGTCCTTGATAACTCGCTTTTTAATGCGTCGTTGATAACCTTTTTTGATAGCGTCGTTGATAACCTTCTTTAATGCATTCTTGATAACCCTTTACTTTGATGCGTCCTGATAACGCCTTCTTTGCTGCGTACTTGATACCCTTCTTTGATGCATCTTGATAACCTTAACTTTGATGCGTGCGTTGATTAACCTTCTTTAATGCATCTTGATAACGCCTTATCTTGCTGCGTCCTTTGATAACTTCTTGATGCGTCCTTGGATAACTCTTTAATCGCGTCCTTCGATAACCCTTCTTTAATCGTCTTGAT